GAAGGGTTCACAAACGCATCTTCCCACCTGTCTTTCTGTCCATCTATTTTCGTCCTCATTTTATTGAAAATTTCCTGTTTACGTTACTTTGGCTATCTCGATCGATCTATCTATCTATCTACGATAACAGCAACCACAACCACAACCACAACCACAACCACAACCACAACCACAACCACAACCACAACCACAATACTGCCTTCATGATCTGCAGTACCACACAACCCCCCAACACAACACAGCGAAACGCAACACAACGCGAACCTCAAGTGCATCCCATAGTCGGAGAGAGGAAGGAGAAAAGAAGCATTTAATTTCCAGGAACTCCTAGTTTCAATATAAGACCGTGGCCTAATTGTTCTGTGTGGCATGAGGAGCACAGTCGCCCGGCATTCGTCTACGACTGGCTTAACCCTGTCAGAATCGGAAGGCTATCTCGGATCTGCTCAGTGTGTAATAGGCTAGAACCTTCTTTGAACATTGTTTTAAATACACTTAATAACATACCTGAAATATATTCAATTTCCATTAGACAATACGTATAATTTGTTGTTGTTGTTTTTTTCTTTCTGTACAACAACGATGATGAAATTACTAAGACCTACTCAACAAGCAAGAAAAAAGTCGACATCTATTTATAGTGTATTTTCATGTTCGGGAAAAACCTTCATGAGATGCCAAAGTTGTTTCGGTCACTGTTACTAAATTTGTTTTATTTTGAAACCGCAACCACCAGACCTCTAACTGTGTTTCTATTTCCAGTCACGTAATCTGATGACGAGAACAGAAGTCCTGTATATAAATAAGGGCGACTGGTAGATCTAGCAGTGTCATGTTTTCTCACGCAGTGAGTTCTTTGACACAGGTGAAATCTATCGCTAATATTCCGAGGATAATGTGTGAGCTAGGCCTAAATACATCATGTGAGTACCTCTATTGGAACAGCCAGCTTAGGCTTCGATCTGCCTCGTTAAGAATGGAGTGTAGGCGCGAATTGAACAAGAAAATTTATCTCATATTGTAGTCTGTCAAAATTTCTAAACAATAAAATTACATAAACAGTTGGAAAAGGGGGGTCGATTGCTCCCTAGTCTCATTTCTCTTTTTGAAAATTAAATAGATATGGAAGCGGATTTGCCCAAATGAAACCATTGTATTGAAATGGCTTAGACCTATGGGGCAGAAAAAGAATGGTATTTGTTTGTTCACATTGCTACGATGAATTACAAAATTCTATCTGCTCAGTACCTAGGTCTAGTTTTGTGAAGTTTGATGTTTAAATTGGTGAGTCTCACAACGTGTCAAGCTTTTTAGAATGTAATTCCTTGTATTTTTAGTGTAAAGAATTTATTGCATGAGATATGGTGGTGGATCGTATTAATTTAATCCAACTTGTGAAATTGCCAATTGTTATTTTATATTATCCCGATGTCACCCATCTGTTCATATTTAATTATCAAGTAAGATACTCTGAGCCCACTGCCTAGTAGTAGTAGTAGTAGTAGTAGTAGTAGTAGTAGTAGTAGTAGTAGTAGTAGTAGTAGTAGTAGTAGTAGTAGTAGTAGTAGTAGTAGAATA